TGTATAGTGAGTGATGACACAGCTACCAGTGCAAGTGAGATACATACCAAAGAGTGCTTCATGACTTACCATGCAGAGTGGATTATCAGTGGCCATTTAATTGAGCAAGAAGTAAAGAGTGGTTGATGAGTGTGGCCAAAAGTGAGTTGCGTTGTAGCTAGAACATTGAAATTCCTTCTGATAAAGAGTCCCGGCCTAGCAAAAGACTAACTGAAACAAAGTAACATTGACAGGAGTATAGAAAGGCCAGGAAATGTCCCATGGTTGGAATGTAGCTTTATACTGAGCAGTGGGTTGCCAATTAAGATCACCAATGTAAGATGAAGAAATGTAACTGGAATTAATGCAGGAACAATGGCAGGTATGCTGAACCAACATAAGTTGACTTAAGAATAATGAATGAGTTATCAATTGATATAAATCTACTACAAATAAGATGTGAAGACAAACTGTGTACAATGCCTCCTCAATAAAAAAGACTGTCTTGAAACTGCAAAGTCTCCTGCCTCTCTCTCTCTCCCTCTCTCTCTATTTTTAATGATATAGCTATAGGTCATTAAAAGTTTTAAGTTTTGTTTTGCAAGTAAAATAAAAGTTTTACATGTACTTTAAGCCACTCCTCTCACACTCAATCTGAGGAAAGGTAGCATTGGAGTATTAGAAATAAGAGGGGAATTAAGAAAAGAGGAATAAAGGAAAGATAGAAAAGGAGGAGGAGAAGAGAGATGTCTGACCCTGGAAAAATCCTGGAGTACGTCCATGATGAAAGACTTTTATCTTCATGTTTATTTTTAATAATTACCATTCTTACCTACAGCGACAAGAAGGCATGCTGTATTTTGGCAGCTACCTGACCTCTCTTGAACGCTGCAAACAGCAGTCAGTTTTGACCAACTGTTGACTGACCTGACACACACACACATACACTATACTGACAATACATGATTATGATTCCTACATCCCAGCACACACCAGCCAACATATCTCCAGTAATACTCGGTATTTAAACCTAGTGAACAAGATGCTGCCAAAAATGAATAACTGGTCATTGCAGGAACACACTAATAGCAGTGTATATGAGGGTTGGGTACAAACCCACACACACACCCCCACTAGTGTGCTACTCCAATGCACCTGCTTTCCATTCTTGACAGCATCTCCCTCACATATTACTAGAAACATACTGCCTAGTGTATGACAGGACAACCTTAACAATGTGAGCAGGCCAGCCGGTAGGAACGGGGAGTGTCCTTACACTAGGGTCAGTATAATAATTAACATGCAAGACATCGCGGGAAAATGTGATGGCCCATTCCTCCAGGAGCCCGTGACATGACTAGCTATACACAAAGACATTATTATAATATCATGCAAGTATGTGTGCGTCTACTAGCCGGGAATGGTCGGCCATCCCAGCTAGTAGTACAGGTGGTAACATGCTGCGGTATCCTTGAGAGAATCCCTCCCCGAGTCCTTGAGGAAATCCCTCCCTGAGTCCTTGAGACTCTCCAAGAAACATCAACTATTCCGACTTCTGAGGATGCTAACGATTCCAAGACACCACAAGTCCTGTTGACTCGAAACTGGAGCTACATGTAGACGTACGGCTCCTAAAATCAAATAAAATAAAAGGCAAATTACGTCAGTACACTTATCATAACAATTATATAACAGTGGAGAGCAGTGACTACTACATGTAAATCAGACAAGAGGCTATAACAACTAGTGGTTATAACATGCTAACATACACACACAAGTCTTAGCAAACTAAGTCCTTACTTACTATAGTCATCTCTCCATGTTCTTTTTTGTGGGCACGTCCTTCAGATAACAAAGACAGGGCTTGTATCCAGGCCTTGACCAGCTCCTAAAAATTAAATAAAAGATACAAGCTAACATGGGCTCTATTCAAACTAATAACAATGAGAGTGTTACTATAGCAAATAGCACAAAAGAGACTATAACATGACAAACAAGAGGTTATGACAACTACTGACTACAAGAGGCTACTATTACAACATAACAAGAGGAATGACAAACAAGAGGTTGTAACAACTAACAAGTACATCATGTTACAAGAAGCTATCACAACTGCTATAACAACTACATGTAAAGATACATAAAGGGGAAATCCTCACCTATTCACCATATCCATCATTCTGAAGTGTCTTTGCTGGCCCTGTTTGCCCTTTTTTGTGTGTGGGCATGGCCTCAAAAATGGCGGGAAACTCAAGTAGCTTGAAGCATCAAATAAAATGATCACGTGACTGCTAGCCTGTGTATGGGGAGATGAATAAAAATAATAAAAGAGAAAAAGACTGCTAACCATAACAGATTTAGCAGCCATTGAAGGAAGAGGTCACAACCTTTCTTGACCTTTTAGAGAAGAGACAAGCTTGAACCAACTGCTGTCAACCTGTAAAGAAAAGGAAAATATAAATAAATGAGTTTTTGAAGGAGAGAGAGTGAGGGGAGGCTGTGGCCATGACTAACCATAACAGCCATTGAAGGAAGAGGTCACAACCCGCCATGACCTTTTAGACAAGAAAGGAGCCAACTGCTGGTAACCTGTAAAGAAAGAGAAACATAAAGTAGAAAAGAAAAAGAGAGGGGAAGAAGAGAGAGAGAGAGAGTGAAGAAGAAGGTAGCCATTACTAACTGTAGCAGAGCTCTTGAAGACTTATCCTTTGGGGCCCAGAGAAAGACCAAAAGTGGGAGGAAAAGGAAGTTAGCTCCTTTTATAAAACGTAGTTCCCGGGAAAAATACCCGCTCTTTTTTTTACCGCGTGAATCTGATTGGTCAGGTAGAGGTCACCTCACTATTCCACGTGTGCCCCACATGCAAAGGTATGCACACTAGGGGTGTCCCAATTATGCCGGAATAATTTTGGGAATATTAGGCAGCACTTCAATTCCAGAATAATGCTGGCCTAATAGGTGGATCAGTAGCCAAATTCTAATTAAAGAGCAGCAAATGCACAATTTTTGAATTTTTTTATTGCCTGAGCTAGTTGTAACTCAATTTTTGAACAAAGTTCAGGTTCTGAAATTGATATAGAAACTTATATTTTGCAGTCTCTGCTGATAGTGATACTTTAAATAGCTTCTCAGACTTATTAATTTTCATTTTTATTGTAGTTAGCTCATGATTATAAAGAATAAAGTGAGAATAATAGGGCAGAATAAAAAGAATAATAGGCAACTTTTTGAGAATTTCTGAATAGAATTATAGGTAAAAAAATTAGCATAATCTGGACACCCCTAATGCACATGGCATTGTAGGCAGGGCTAGCTAATACAGAGAATGCAAACTCGGTGTATCTACAAAGCACAACTTTAAAAATTCACAAAAAATCCAAATTTGATCGGAATCCACTCAAACTTTCTACACAACATAAAAAACTTGCATATGTATTGGTTAAGCAAGAATAAATAAATAATTATAATCAACTAAATAATTTATTAACAAATTAATACAAGAGATGGTAAAAGCAAGAATTAATAAATAATTATAATCAACTAAATAATTTATTAACAAATTAATACAAGAGATGGTAAGGCAAGGATTAATCACCTTACTTCATCAGCTTAGAATTAATAACGTAATAACATAAAAAACATAACTGAATAATAGAAAATGAATAACTCTACTAAATTACAACAGACTATAAGAAAGGGAGTGGCTGGTTGAGTAGTTGTTCTTCTTGAAGAGGAGTAGAGGGTCCAGGAGGAAAAGAAGTACCATCTTCTAGTTGTTCCCGTAACCTATAACTGTATCGTCATGGTTTTCATTCTCCTACTAGTGATAATAGAGACTAAAGAAAGAGAAAATAATGATCAAGATTCGTGTGTTAGTAAAAAATTATAATTACTTGTGTATGTTCACTAACTTTAAGAAAATAGAGCAAGGGATCTTCACTGAGTGACCTCCTACAAAACAAGATAGATAAGTAAAAGATAAAGATAAAGATAAAGATAGATAGATAAAGGACAGATAAGTAAAAGTCTATCATGGGTTGTACTTATAATCATATTCATTAGTAGTATTACAATACAAAGCAAGTATAAATACAATATCAGAAATACAAAATGTCCTCATCCTTCATTAGGTGACTACAGTACAGTTATACATGTATTCTAATATAGGTTTAAATTCAGTAAAAATCTAAATTTAGATCGGAATCCGCTCAAAATTTCTACGCAACATAAGTACAGGTATAGGCATCAGAAAATGTAATAAAAATCAACAATTCTTTCATCGACATTTTTGGTGAAATTTGGCCTCAACCCTGTACTACAGTACAGGGATTTTTGCCCAATTTTGGAGCTACTTAGAAAATTTGTAAAAATCTAATATTGATTGGAATCAGCTCAAACTTTCTACGCAACATAAGAAACTGTATATGCATCAGAAAATGTAATACACATAAGAATTCTAACCTTGACATGTTTGAAGAAATGGAATCTATGGACTATGATACCCAATAACAGCTGATGAAAGTCTCATGGAGAAATGAACCTACTAATAAACAATTGGAGCTAGGTTCAACATAATTATTAATACTCTTCTCTCTTACCTTTCACGTCTAACTGCATGGAACATCACGTTAATGTTTAATATGAAGTGACGTAAACGTACATATCTCTGATTTAGAAATAGTATAGCTGGCTGTAAAAATCAAGATGAAAGTACACATTTTTGAATGTACATTCACAATTAATAAAAATTAATAATGATAATGTCCACCCTTCATTACATGCCCACCTTCCTAATTAATCCCACATCTCATTATAAATGCATATACAAACCTCATGCTATATCTCAAATGTATTTACTACCTAGCTTCCTGCACCTGTTCGTGGTTTTGTCTCTCTAACTCAAGGCTCCAGTTACTGGAGACCAGCTAGCTTCCTGGTTGTACAGACGTGACAATGGCTCAATCAGACGACATTTTGAAGAGGGGCAGGACCAAGTTTAATAAAAATTAATTAATTAATAGATTAATAACTGCATTGCTTTTCACAAAGAAGATCTTCTTGGTCTTGTTGCTTGTAACTAGACTATCTCCCCGGACCCTCAGCCACCAGCTAGAGGCTGCGTCCCTACCACAATCCATCCAACACTTCCTTCATACTCTTAGATAGATCAAGGATCGGCCGTCATGTCTTCAATAAGGAACAAGCACGGATCACTTCAGATGTACAAGGGCAAGAAATGGAAGACCTACTCCTTTAAAGTGACTGGATCTACTTACTTACATTATTTCGGGGAGAGTAAGGTAAGCGTTTTAATTCTTAAGAGTGCTTTGTAGCAGACAGCTTGTGTGGTGTTGGTATTATTTATGTATTTAAGGTCTTTTTGTTGTTTTTTTATTTGAGAATGTATTTGTAATAACAGGTTCAGTTGTGGTTGTTGTTTTCCGTACTTTGCAGACATTTTTTGAGCATTTGTAGTCCAACACTTTATAACTGTTTGTTATTGCGAGTGGGAGTGAGACAGAGGGGGAGAGAGACAGAGGGGGAGAGGTAGGGAGGGAGGGAGAGAGAGAGTGAGAGGGTGGAAGTGAGGTATGTTTACAAGTATGACTTAAAGTCAGTGTAATGTAATTTTTAATACTAAGTTACTGGTACACTGTACATGTACATCAAAGCCTTTAATCCTAGCATCACAACACATGTATAAACTATAAACCAACCTTTATCTGATAAAGAGAGAGAGAGAGAGAAAGATTGTGTCATTCTGCTGTTTAGTAAATGTCTGACAATGAGAAAGAGAAAAGGAACAAGTGTTAATGCATTGTATTATAAACATGACTCATCTTGTTAGGCCAGTGAACCGAAAGATCAAATATTCCTCACTACAGTATCTGCTGTTGAAGTCCCTCCAAAAGCTCCTAAAAATGGCAGCTTTGTATTTGAAGTCCGTCACTCTGGCAAGAGCTCACCTTGGATCCTCAGTGCTGATAGTGAGGTTAGTAGCAGTTATTATCAATATGTCGCTATAGAGCTGATGACTCTGATGTGTGGAGTGACAAATGTACATGTCTTGTTAGCTGTTGGTCACTCTCAGGTCTTTTATAAAAAGAGTGTCATTGACATACAATGTAATCCACTTTTGTTTCTGAAAAAGCTGACAAAGATTAATTTTATGAAAAGAAGAAAGCTGATTGTCACCTTTTATGCTGTTCTGATGTTAGTGTGTGCATGTGCAAAAAATATTTTATGCATGTAGCATGGAAATATACATGCAAGTGTATCTTTTACATTTGGGATAACACTATTTTAAGCACCATGTAGTGAGCATTGACTCCTTTAATAGACAAAATAAAATTTAGCAATTCTCCTTTCAAAATTACCAGCTATACGTACATGTACATGTATACTGTAGCTAAACCTCATGACTTAATGTCACATGACTTACATTTCCTTATTAGGAGGAGAGACGTGACTGGATGGAGACCATTAAACCAAACAGCACCACGATGCTACACAGCTCACAGATCAAGGACATTCATCAAAGAAACAAAACCATTTTAAACCGTGGAGGACCTCCGTCACCCCAACCGGGACATCAATATGGCAACGGGTCGGCTACCATGGGAACCAGTAGATCCCCTAGTATGTATCAGAGAAGCTCATTACAATATTCTGCAACAGTACGGAACACACACACAGGTGCTACACAAGGTCGTAACTATTCAGAACCAGCTGTACAACCGTATCCACATAATAATCCACAGTTCTTGTCCCTCGGAAGGGCAGGAGGAGCTTATGTAGGAGGAGGAGAGTCGTATCAAGTAACACAATCATTACCGTCCTCACCTTCTCTCTCACCCCCCTCTCCAATACCTCTCACTCCGCCCGGAGTACAGCCCCGCCCTCCTGAGACGCAGCCACGCCCACACGAGACTGAACCACAGCCACTTCAAAGACCGATGTCTATGTCCGACCGTCCACCAATGCCCGAGCCTCGTCAGTTGATAATGGCAGGACCTCCGGCAGAGTATTTGGACCCACTGCAGCTTAATATGCCAGCTGGGAGTAAGAGGATAATAGAAGATAATGATGGAGGTTAGTTAGACCCCCTCTCCCTCCCTCTCTCTCTCTCTCTCTCTCTCTCTCTCTCTCTCTTTCTAAGGCCATTATTGTGTTTACGTCTCATTTTGGTTCTTTGATGTGTGTCACATACATGTACCAAAAGTGTGACAATAATAACAATAACAAATAAAATCTTTATTTAAGTATTACTAGTAACTGCTAATTAATAACAATTAAAGTACGTACATGTAAGATGAGCAATGGCTAGATTACATGCATAATGTCATACATGTAGTACAGGTAATAGTACATGTACAATATGTTATACATACATGTACTTCTTTCTCACTTATGCATATGTATTTACAATGTACATTACTATTGGCCATCACATCTACATCTACTTTTGGCATGGGCATACAGTTATTGAATACACTATACATGTACACTGTATGCTAAGTGATCCTATTACATGTACATGCTTGATGAAAAAGGATTGTTATTGACTGAAATATGAGCCATATTTTTGTATATAGCCATGACTAATTGATCCTGGAATGAGCATTTTATGACAAGTAGACACCTCCTCTTAATGTACAGCACCTAGTGTACCATTACTGTATTAAATAACCTCCACATGAAGGACACCACTGTATAACAGAGACACTTTCCTTGCACCAAAGTGTCCATTATATAGAGGCTAGTCTGTAGTGCATGTACATGTACTTGTAAGCATTCATGTATGAGTGGGATGTGTGCTAGTGTCATTTGTTGTTTGACAGATTGTTTAGCCCAATCCCTCAGTGTTCCTTAAGGCCACTATACACCAGGCAATTCTATTGCAGGCAATGTGTGGTTACTTTGATGTTGTAAGCAATGTGTTGCCTAGAATAGAACATGTTTCTATTCTAGGCAACAGTGTTGTCTGAAGATCAAAGTAACCACAGATTGCCTGCAATAGCATTGCCTGGTGCATAGTGGCCTTAATATAGTAAATGAAGTGTATTTTTAATCGTAAATGAAATATCCCCTTCTCCTATCTTAATAATATATTTACTATTGTTAATCAATTAATTAGGACTTGTTATCATTGTGCATATACTGTAGTTAATTAGGTCATAATGAGGTAATTATATAACATACATGTATGTGTACACACACAAAATAAACACTATTATATCATAAGGACACCTTTATAATGAGGACATTTTGTAATGTCCCAATTGGTACAAGCCTATACAAAAGTACCTCTGAAATGAGGACACCTCTGTATTAAGGACAGGTAGTGTGGGCCCAATGGTATCAATGTATTGTAAATACTAATGCATTGTATTTTGATGTGTACACACGCACACTTGTGAATGCCAATTAAGTGACGTACATTTCTAAGGTTACATGTACATGTACATGTATATGTATGTGCTTATGCTGAAGAATGTGTGTGTGTGTGTGTGTGTGTGTGTGGTCTTTTCTTAATTAATAAACTATTATTCTTTTGAGGCTTAGATTGAAACACAATACACACAGTCACCTTTTCACTTCACATGTTTTAAACACCATCCATTCTCTCTCTCCTATTTTACATGTGTCCCTTTGGTATTGAATAAACATGCACAGTGCTTTGAGTTGAAGAAATTGTTTGTACATGTACTTATGAATATAACTGACAGTATATATGTACGTGTACGTGTACAAAAGGTTTCCTACAAAGCATGCTAAGTGAGCTAAACAGCATGAGCTTCATGAGCTGACAAGCACTACAATACAGTACATGGCATTTGGAACAACTTTGTTTAAAATTTGTAAAAAATCTAAATTTGATTGGAATCAGCTCAAAATTAATACACAGCATAAAAGCATGTATACGTATCAGAAAAAAATTATAAAGATGGAGAATTCTCTCCTTGTCACTTCTGTTGAAATACCCTGCACTATTATAATATTGAGCAACTTGACAATTCACTGATAAGAATCTGCATGAGCACTATACCAAAATCCTATCGGAAACCTTGTATGTACATGTACATGACACATTTACATGTACATGTAACATGTATACATTTTATTCCAGTTTTTATTCCTCTCTCTTCTACCTCTCTCAGGTACGTGTCCAGTAACACCTAGTGGTGACGAACCCACTCCAACTGGTAATCAGTATCTCCTAATAGCCCCTCCCTCTAAAACAAGACCAGACCATAAAGAAACCTGTCTATTAAAAGATCGTTCAAAACCCAACACTCCACAGTCTCCTCCTGTTTGTGTGACTCCGCCCACTTCTCCTGCAACTATTGATCCAATATTTGAGACGTTAAAGTCTCAATTCACAGCATCACAGATACAAGCATTGGTTGAGATGCTAGCTAAGATGAATGATAAAGGAGGAGGAGGGGGTGAGGCCAATGTTGGGTATCTTGTTACAAAGACAGCAAACACACTCAATGAATCAATGTAAGACTAATATTATAATTATCATTATATATCTATTTACTTACATGTAATTTTATTGAGTGAATTTTTTGGATTTGTAAAAAAAGTTAATGTTTTGTGGGTTTGAAATGTTAGCTTGATGTTCTTAGAGGAGCTTAAATTATCTGCGAAAACTGTAAATTTAGTTTTGCTTCTCAAAAATATAGTGCTATACAGGTTTTTTAATTGTTTGGTCATGTACATGTACAATATAGCAAGGCTGCAAAAGTCATGGCAGCCATTTTGAAGTGGGGTGAATCCTACTTAGTAACGCTACCGTGTTACTAATGTACATGTAGATCCTTACATTTACAATATTCATAAATTATTATTATTATAATCCTCTCCGTCCCTCTCTCTCTCTCCCTCTCTCTCTCTCTCTCTCTCCTTCTCTCTCCCTCTCTCTCCCTCTCTCTCCTCAGGTTAGTGACAGAAGATGATGATCCTGACCATTACAATGAGAGACCAAAATGGGCCAAAGCAAGTGAGTGAGAACATGTACATGTACATGTACATGTACATGTACATGTATATATATATATATATACATGTACATGTACAATAAACATTGAGATATTGAATAATTTTGAAGGTATAAACAGCTTCTGTCCTTTTTTGTGGAGATTATAATTATCATGTACAGTAACACACAGCACATGTACTGTGTGTACATAATTAAACTCTAATTGGTAGTAATTCAATTTCCCCTGGGGGTTTACTTTAAGACAGTGTTGGGCCACATATTGAAGCAAAAAATGCACACAAGCATCATGTATATGGTATTATTAATATTAATTTATTTATTGTATAGTTAATGAGCAAGTAACAGATAATTCAGAGCCACTGCTACCTGATGCTAGTACAGTCAACATACCTAGGACATCATTAACTAACATGAACAGGATTGGAGCAGGTAAAGACATGTACATGTACATGTATACTTATAAATTCATAATACATGTACATGTACGGTATAGGTCTTTTTAATTTATGCTATTTGGTACGGTAAAGGCATTGAACATTATTTTTAGCTTAACTTGGATGGCACTGCATAAGCTTATGTACACACGTACCTGTTTGTTTAAGCATAACTACTGTATGAAATATTATTTTAATTAGACCAATGTAGTAACACACAAGTACATACATGTACATGTACACAGTATACTGTAAACATGAGAATTAAACCATGTAGAATTGCATCTAAGAAATTAGTTTATAGTAGCTACAGATCACTTGTAAACTGTAACATAAAAAACTCAAAAATTAAAAATTAAAATAATAAAGAAAACAGTGAATTATCCCAAAATAACTGTCAGAACAATAACTACTTATATTTTCATTTATCCTTCTCCTTTGAAAGGTCATTTCGGTGATGTGTTCAGTGCCGACTACACACCTGAAGGTTTCGGTCCTGAGGACTCCATCAAAGTAGCAGTTAAGACAGCAAAGAAAGGAGTCACTGAAGGGAAGAGGAAAGAGATACTGAGAGAAGTGTCTGTAATGACTAATATGGTCCATCCTAATCTCGTGAGACTCTATGGAACTAATGAAGAGGACGGACTGCCATGGCTCGTGCTGGAGTACCTGCCTCATGGTGACCTCAAGCATTATCTACAAGTAAATACATTACTGTATAGTGGGTAAATTTGGAGGGGCTAAATTTTGGCATATTGCTAAATTTTGGTGATTGACAGATTTTTAATTTGGCAAATTTGTGGCCACGTGCCATTGAGCATGCGTATAATGGCTCAAAATGGCGGATTTTTATTTTGGCAAATGGCTATCAAAACGCCAAATTCGCCAAATTTAATCCCCTCTGAAATTACCCGCTATTATAAATATTTGACAATAAAAATATGTAGTTTGTTATACACTATACACATATCGAAGTTAAATTTAGACTGGAGGGTCATTAATGACCCTTACAAAAATTTTATGATAGCTGTTTTGATATACACTACGAGACTCATTCTTTAAACCAAGTGGTTTTATTATACTCTGCTGTTTGTAAAAGCTATCGTGGGTTGCATGAAAATGTGGTTAACACTTCTGTACCTGTGTAAACTATACAACAATAGTGGCTTTTGGACCAACTTAACACATAAAACATGCAGATTATTATCATTCTCTCTCTCTTTCTGTAGAATTCTCCAACTAAGAAGAGTCCAGACTCACTAGTAAAGTACATGGTTGATGTAGCAATGGGAATGCACTACATAGCAGAGAGAGGACTAGTCCACAGAGTAAGTGGACATACACTACATTCATTATGTACATGTACATTGTCTCCAGTGACTGCAATACTTAATAATTCAAAATTTGGCCCATGACCTTGTACAGGGACTTTGCTGGCAACTTTTAAAATTTGTTTAAAAACCTAATTTTAATTGGAATCAGTTCAAACTTTCTACGCAACATAAGTACATGTATATGCATCAAAAAATGTAATAAAAATAAAGAATTCTCACCTTTCCATTTTTGGCAAAATTTAACCCGTGACCCTGTACTATAGTACAGGGACTTTGGCCCGATTTTTGAGCAAATTTAAAAATTCATAAAAAATCTAATTTTGATCAGAATCAGTTCAAACTTTCTACGCACCATAAGTACATGTATATCCACTAGAAAATGTCATAAAAATAAAGAATTCTCACCTTTTCATTTTTGACGAAATTTAGCTTGTGACCCTGTACTGTAGTACAGGGACTTTGGCCCAATTTTTGAGCAACTTTAAAAATTCATAAAAAATCTAATTTTGATCTGAATCAGTTCAAACTTTCTACGCAACATAAGTACATGTATATGCATCAGAAAATGTAATAAAAAATAAAGAATTCTCACCTTTTCATTTTTGGCAAAATTTAGCTTGTGACCCTGTACTATAATAGTACAGGGACTTTGGCCCAATTTTTGAGCAACTTTAAAAATTTATTAAAAAAAATCCAATTTTGATCGGAATCAGTTCAAATTTTCTGCACAATATAAGTACATGTATATGCATCAGAAACTGTCAAAAAATAAAGAATTTTCACCTTTTCATTTTTTCAAAATTTGGACTGTGAAGTACAGGGTTTTTGATTTACCGGGAAAATTTATTTATTCTTAGTTCGATTTTGTGCTATTTAAAAATATCCTTTACCTTTATTCCAACAGGATCTAGCAGCTC